AGCTAAATTGCAGAATAAAACCTTCCACTCAAGTTGTGCAATGTACTAGACTTATGACTCTAAATTTTACCATTGTCCTGTCAAAATTATGCAAATTTATAAAAAGTTGTAAATGAACACAGAAGATGTGACCAGTATAATGAGAAAGATAAATTAATTAACATAAAATTATAGACACTGTGTTGTTTCTATCACTGTTAACCAGAGAACCTTCACAAAAATAGACTGGACGCAATACAAGTAGGCAAATTAGCCTTAGAAATTGAGAATCAACCATGTGGGTTGAATGAGGGCCTGTTTCGGAGATGTTTTGACGAAGTAAGAATATAGTAGTTTACTTTTCCTTACAGGGTCTAATTTAGTAGCCAGTTGTTGCAATTCAAGAATGTTTTATTCTTTAAGCATGTAGTTTCACCACAAACATATATAAGCAAGAAGGCACATTCCTTATAGCACAACTTCAATGTAATAGAAATTCATAAATTGTACTGCAATGATTCAGCAGGCCCAAGTTACCAATAATCTAGATGATGTCTACAATGTTCTAATGCGCACTGCACAAATACTGCAATTTGCAGAGATTTGATGAAGTCAAACATATATTTCAATTCAATTAATTTTAACAACAAAGCTTATCTGCCCAATACATACCTTCAGTCAATTTCTAATCCCTTGTGTTAACACAAACACATGTACATACACATACAAATACAAACATACACACGCATTAGCATTATAAAAGTTGCTTTTATAATAATACAAAAATGGCCGACTCCCAGAAACTAAATTGAAGAACAAATCATGAAGCATATTTAATATAACAAGTCTAATAATTAGGAAATTCATCAATCATCATGCCAATGCTATTTCAGTGAAGTATTTAAGGAGTGAAACTAGGATTCTGAGAACTCGAAGGTACAATTTGTACCTAAGAAAAACAACAATCCACAACAAGTAACTACGAGTTTCATTTTTTTTTTTTTTTTTCTCTCTCTTCTTTTTCCAGCGTTTTCTTACCAAACAAACGGAGATTAGGGTTTTGAAAAAAGAGATGGGGAAAATGAAATTACCAACGGCGCCACCAAGAGCACCACCGATTGCAACACCTGCGGCAATTCGAGTTAGACAGCTATCCTTCGCCATACCTATTTTCTCTCACTAGACTCTCCTTCCCTCCCTCTTTCTCTCTCTACAAATTGGTGACTGAGGGTTTACTTGGGTTTTATTTGAGGTTTTAATGAAAAGGATCAATTGGTGGAAGCCGAAATAACACAAGAGGGGCAAGAACTGTTTCACAGAGGGAAATAAAATAGAGGAAAATATAAAACAAGAGAGAGAGGCATGCACCTGGTTAGAGATCGTCGAAGAGATCGGCCGAAAACAGCAGTGGAATCGTCCTTCTCAGTTGTTGCCCAACCGTCGCCAAGAATCGCCCACAATCGCCAGACCAAACGAGCAAAGCAAACCCTAGATTGTTGCAACTTTTTGGTTTTATACGTGAAACAAGTGTTGCATCCGCTACAGTTAAATGCCCGTTTTTGCTTCTTCCGCTACAGTAATTCTTACCCCAAATAAAACCAAAACAACAAAAAACACCAATTTGGTGTTTCATATTTTGGGCCCAATTTTGAAAATGTTTTACAACTGTTTGAAACACAACAAGCCCAACCAAACATGTTTTGGGCTTGAAAGAGGTTACTGTAGCAAGTCTAAAACAAAACAAAACATCTCCCAAACAGGCCCTAAAAATTAACCTTAAAAATATTTATAGAGAAATAAATGAAACTCAACAGCCTAAAGGAATGGGGAGATTTATGATTTGAACATTACAAGTGACAACACAACTGACCATATTATGGCATGTGTGTGTTGGTTCATGTATTGAGTCACAGTTTACGAAGTGAACAACAAAAAAGAGACGGAGGTAGTACTAATATACTTACTTCAGTTTGAATTTGTTAGGGGTATTTTTTTTATATTTTGGACGCACATTAAAACATGTTAATAATTATGTAAGATTATCTTTATGTCCTTATTATTATATAAATATAATAAAAAAATATCTTTACAAACATATTTTCATCATTTAAATCTTCAAATTTTATCACAACTATGGCTGGCCATTAGTTTTGCTAACGATAGAGATAGAGAGTACTTGTTACAAATGTGCAAAGTAGAGCTGAAAAAAACTCAAATTAGAGGAGGGATAAATGTAATTTATCCAGATAATAATAACAGAAAATGCAAAAGAAGTTACATAAAGTGACAATGTACCACCATAATCGTGGCCTAGTGTCACTGGTTTAGAGTTTCAGCACCACTCTAGCTGCTCCCGTGCGGCACCAAGACGTTGCTTTCACTCTCGCAAGTACTTGGTCAGCCTAACTCCCGTGCACACCTTAGCCAACACACTCCCCTCGTGCGCTTACTAGTGTTGTAGTTGCCTTCGCCCTCTCCTCACTTGGCTTGCACACTCACACACACTAAGGCACTTAAGTTGGCAAGGAAAGAACACTTCTATTACTTCAAAGAATACTTTATACAAGGCTAACACTCAAGCTCTCTACAAGGCTCTCAAGACTCACTCTAGGACTTGTTGGTTGCAAAATGAAGTCCAACTCCTATTTATAGGCATCCCCATCCCTAATGGATGGCTAGGATGCATTCTAACCAACGGTGGAGATTGATTCTCTAGAATCTTCTTCCACCTTCTACACATCTCCATACATATCTACAACATTCTAGAACTCTCCATACTACTCCACACAACTCTGGAGAACTCTAGAACCTTCCATACACTTCTACATATTTCTACACATATCTAGAATCTTCCATACAACTCTAGACTACTCCGGAAGACTCTAGAAATTTCACTTGCCATGCAGTTGCCATGCAGCATCCTCTTCAGCGTCTGCGTGTCGCTTGCGTGGCACAACTTCCATAAGCGGGGCGTGACACTAGGCTATAGATGTGATGCGTCTCACAGCATTTTCTAAATCAAGTTGACTCAATGGCAAAATGCCAAAAAGTAATAAGTACCCTGAGGTGCAGAGAATATAAAACACGGATTAAATTTCCCGCGTGATTAGTAGAAACAGAAGAAAGAATGCCCAAGATAGAACATTTAGCTTTGAAAGATAATGCAGTCCATCAAAAAGACCTTCCTTAAATTTGCGGCCCAAACTCAAAGCCCAACTAGATAATAGTTGGTCAAGTTTTATGACACCCAAATCACAAGGCCTGTTGTCGCTTGTCAAATCTGATTAATTTGAGAAGGCTGTTTTTGACATGAGTTCAGAGAGTTAAATTTTAAAATCTTTCACATTTTTGTAGAGATTGTAGGGTATTGCAAAAATTAATACATAAGAATTGATGGTTAGAGGGTTTTTTAAAATTTTGTATATATCTAAGATATTTAGATGAAATTTTTTAAAAATTAAATCTTCTGTAACCTTTTATCGCAAATAGATTTCTATATATAAGATAGAGAATTCCATTTCTAAAGTAGAACAAAGCAATAGGTTGAGTGTGCAACCTAAGGGTATGCATATGGGTGGGAGTGTATAAGCGCACAAGAAGGGCGTTGAAATGAACGAGTTAGACAGAACGTGAAGATAGAAATATGGTTAATAAATAGATTTGAAAATAAAGACAATATAAATAAGCTTAAACCATGTGACCCAAATTAATGGCAGTTTCTCATGTGAGTAAATGAATGAATTCCTTATCAAGGTAATATATGAGTAAATGAATGAATTCCTTATCAAGGTAATATATATACATAGAATATAATTTCATTCAAAAGGTTTTTTGAGCTAAATTTCACTATATAAAAGTGTTTTCTTTGTTACCAACTATATTTAAAAATTACCTTTTAAAATAAAATTGGCTTTTAAATAATCCAAAAATACGATAACAAAATACAAGCAACATGATAGCCTTAGCCCATCGAATGGCCGGAAACAAAGGAAAAATTCAAGCCAACTACTACGTAATTACTAAACCTGATAGTGTCTATGGAAGCACTATGCATCAAGTTAATATCCAAATTAAAGTCTTGAAAAGGAGATTATAAATACACTATAAAGTGTGAAATGATATTAATTTTTCTTTTTTCTAATTCATCATAAATAATATAAGTGACTCTTACATCATTTACGGTATTTGGCGTGCATGTCATTTTAGATAATATCACTTCAAATGGAGAGCCAAGGATTGGTATGGACATTTCCACTTTGTGGAGGCTCACATCAATTAATTCACTAAATGTGGAGAATGGAGTGGATAATATAGGTCCAATGGGGTGGGTTACTCTCAAAAAGTGAGGATAATAGTGAAAAGTACGCTAATAATATGAACTCTAAATATCTAAATAATGTGAATAGTCAAGGTAGAACAATCTTGACATTCCATTTTTCAAAAGTGGGGACTCAAAGTAGTGTCTCCCACCCTCGATGTCCTTAGATTTATTGTGGAAGGTAATGAATGGAGAATTTTTTAATCCAAATTTGGTTCGCTGCAAAAAAAAATCCAGATTTGTATATAAATATGGACGAAGCTAGGAAATTGTGTAATTTTTTAGTGATTTTAGTGGGGACGGTTGTGTAATTTTATAAGTATATATATCAAAATAAATAAAATTATAGGGCATATTACTAAAAGTAAAAAAAATTCAGTAATTGCCACATAGATCCGTCCGTGTATATAAACATGTGTAATTTGAAATTAGGTTACATTATTATTCTCTAGGTTATAAGAGAAATAATGAGAATAGAGTGCATTTAACATTTGTTACTAACTTACTAGTAATTATAGTGGAAAGTATTGTATGGAGAGTATTTTAATCCAAATTTCATAAAGGAAGTTTTAAATTCATACTACACAAATGTATTGTATCTTAATTTTACTTCTATTAGAAGAGAAGTTATTAGGTACCCCGAGATAGAGGTGGTTTGCATGGGTTTTTTTTTTTATTTTTTTATTTTAAGTTGGTGTGTTCCAGTAAACAAATTACACCCAAAGCTTAAAAATTGAAAATGAAAATGAAAATAAAAATCACATAAAAATTGAAAAATAAAAGGAAATTAAAATAAAAACCACCTATCAGTAGCTCCAAATATAAAGAAAGGACAAGCGTGAAACCCACTATGATAAAATCTCTTTGTTCTGTTTTCGGAGTACTCTGAGTCTGAGTCTCTCTTTACAGAGAGAGAGAGAGAAAAGAGGCTATGAAATGTGAGAATGAGGTCAACTTTTCTTTTCTCTTTTGTATAATGAGCAGAGCACTAAATTAAACCTCTTCTTTCTCAGAAGAAGAAGATGGCAATACACCAACTTGAGCATCAGCAGCAAAACCCATCTTTGTTATTAGATTCTCTCTACTGTCAAGAAGAGAAATGGGAAGAAGAAGAAGAAGAGATAGAAAAAGATAGCACAAACCCTTCTCTACTTCCTCTGTTTTTATTGGAACAGGACTTGTTTTGGGAAGATGAAGAGCTTCTCTCTCTCTTCTCCAAAGAACACCACACCCATCTCCACTTTTCTGACCCTTCTCTCTTTTTGGCTCGCGGAGAGGCTGTGGATTGGATTCTCAAAGTCAAAGCCCGCCATGGGTTCACACCTCTCACTGCTGTTCTTGCCATCAATTACCTTGATAGGTTTCTTTTTAGCCTCCATTTTCAGAGAGATAAGCCATGGATGATCCAACTTGTTGCTGTCACTTGTCTCTCTTTGGCTGCAAAAGTTGAAGAAACCCAAGTTCCCCTTCTTTTAGATCTTCAAGTATGTATAAACACAACATTTATCTATTACCGTGATAATCGAGCCCTAAATTTTTACCTCTTGAATGTATTCAATAAGATCAAACGCATTCTCAATTTGAATTTTTCATTTTAAATAGCATTGCCCTTTAATTACTGCCATCTTTATTGGGTTTTTTTTTTTTTTTTAAATCATGAACGTGGATTAATTTTGTTTCATTCTCGGAATCTAATCAAGAATGCTAGCTTTGAGATTTCTATTCCTTAGATGCATTAGATAAGATGAACGAATTTCTGTTTGAATTTTTGGGTTTATTTTCAAATCCTGAATGGTGGTTGATTTTGTTTCTGATTAAATAGGTGGAGGACACAAAGTATGTGTTCGAGGCCAAAACCATTCAGAGAATGGAGCTTCTAGTGTTGTCCACTCTTCAATGGAGGATGAATCCAGTGACCCCACTATCATTTATTGACCATATCACAAGAAGGCTTGGATTGAAGACTCAAACCCATTGGGAGTTTCTCAGGCGTTGTGAAGATCTCATCCTCTCTGTTGTCTCTGGTAATCATCATCATCTCTATCATTCATAACGTACGGTTCTCGAATTTCATTGACCAAAGTCGAAATCTTTCGATAACAACGGAGAATAAAGACACAGATACTTTAAAAATCTCATCAGTTATATATAATTATTGAGACATTTTATGTCCGTTTTGTTAATGTTTATATATGTGTGTATAGATTCAAGATTCGTACGTTATCCACCTTCTGTTTTGGCTACTGCAACAATGCTTCACGTGATACAAGAAGTTGAGCCCTGCAACCCCATTCAATACCAAAACCAGCTCCTAGATGTTCTCAAAATTAGTAAGGTATGTTTCTGTTTGTGTCCATTATTTATTTTTTCATTTTTTGACGACGATGATAGTAGTGGTCGGCCTCTTAGAGCACCCCATAAGGCATGGGCTCATGCAATCTTTAGTCCCACATGATAGTGATTTCTATTCTCGATAATGATTCTTAAATTTAATAGTCTAATGGAGAATGCTAGCTAAGCAATTTGAATCAATTGGATATTAACATTTTCACAACCAGCATTTTCGATTCGAATTTTCGATCTAATTATATAATTTGTGTGTATATATTCTACAGGAGAAAGTGGGCGAATGCTGTAGGCTCATTGTGGACTTATCAAACACTTGTTTTTATGACCAAAACAACCCTCACAAGCGAAAGTATGAACAAATTCCAGACAGCCCAAGTGGTGTAATTGATGCATGTTTGAGCTGTGATAGCTCAAATGATTCATGGGTTGTTGGGTCACCAGTTTCTTCTTCTCCACAGCCTCTCCTAAAGAAAAGCAGAGCAAAGGAAAAGCAAATGCTTTTGATCTTTTGATTTCTCTTCTCTCCACTAATTGAGTACTATATAAATTAGTATGTTTATTGTCTTTCACCTCTGTAATTCCACTCTTAGAAGAGTTTGATGGTTGCAGAGTCAGTTAAAAATCAGTAGAGGCAGAGAAGCAATGAAGAATATCTACTACTTTGTGTCTCTCTCATCTTAAGTGTATGATATAAACATATTTTCTACGACAAACACAGTAAAACTAAGAACACAATCATAGATAGACGAAAAAGATGTAAACTAAGCATAATAACAAAATACAAAAATTTACATGGTTTGACTTGTAACATTCTTTGGCGATTAAAATTGACGAAATTTTTTAAAATATACCAAAATTATAAATTCTCAATCCTGTGATCCACGTTTCTTTTAGACTACAAATCTTTACACCATTGTATACCGAGTTATAACAGAGATTAGAATTCAAATTCACAACTCGCAGAACAAAAAATGGATCACAATAATCTGATTAAAATCAAGTTGCAACAAGATGTGGACCAAAACAAAATTAGGAACACAATTCCATTGGTAACAAATTGTCGGTATTTGCCAAATCCATGACCATTACTCTGTTCTTTTGTTGGTCAATAAAATCTCAGAGAGAACGAGAGGATTTAGAGAAAGAGAACAGATAGATTTTGTTTGCATGTGTTGAGGGACTTTTAATTTTAATTTTGAGGAGAGTTTGACCTCGTTACAAGAACCCTTATCTTTGTTGTTACTTGATGACTGTAATCCTCCATATATATATATATATAACATAGAAACACCAATCCATCAATTACGCATAGATTTTCTAAACCATTTTGGCCCAAAGTAGTGGCGACATGCTACAATGCGGTTTGATATAAGCACTAGATTGAATTTGGAATTAGTGTTTTACTAAACTAGTACTAGTAGTTTATTGTATATGCATGCGTACATGAGCTAAATTTAGATGTGTGGAACAGTGTCAATAACGGTAATAAACAGTGATTAAAGCAACTCCATCTGTGCTCTGTTCGGCGAAAGTGGTCCAATTTTTGAAGATTGCATGCTTCAATGAAATATGGGAAAAGTGGACCCCAAGCTTAGGCTCTTCATGGAGGTCGCGAGAAAGCTAGATTGGGAAGGCCATTGGGCTCACTTTTGTGGGCCCATTTTTGTTTTGTGTTTTTTTAAAAAAAAATTCAGGTCAGAACACTGAGTCCAGAACATTGTTGCTAAGGGCATGTTTGGCTAAAATAAAAGTTAAAATTCAGATTTTTGGCTTACTTTGGTCTTTTTTTTTATTCATCAAAATAATTGAACCAAAGAGTCGTTAAAGCACTATTTGCCTGACACAAACAGTGCCTTTAAGGTTTTTTTGGGCAAAAAAAAGTTTTAAAAAATTGGAAAAAAGTAAATTTTTTTTCGTTTTCAAATTTTTCAATGTTCCTATTGACATTAAAAATATAGCCGTTAGGAAAAAGTTTTAAAAAAATAATTATTTTAAATTTTAAAAATATTAAAATATTAATATTTTTAGTGAGCGAATATGTACTACTGGAGTACATGCGATAGATAAAATTTGGAGACTTTAAAATGCTGACGTGATTATGAAAAATGCTTATGTGGCTATTAAAAAATGCTCATATGACAAATTTGGAGAGCCTAATTTTAGAGAGTCTATTGGAGATACTCTTAGGGAGTTATGTTAAAGAATGTGTGTTATTGGTAGGCTTAAAGTATAATTATATATTTTAAAAATGTGGTTAAGAATTTATTAATGGTATCTATAAAGACTATATATAATCTATGGCTTAAGGTGCTTTTGTAGAGTGTGGACCAATTAAGTAGGATAATGGGTAACAACCAATATGCTAAAAAAAAATTAAAAAAAAAAATTTCCAAATTTCTTTCTTAGAATTTTTCTCATGAAATCTTGACTAATTATTAAAGTTTGAAATGTTAAAATCAGTTTCAAAAGTGTACAGTAATTTGTAAACATCTTGGTGGTGCAGTTTTTTTTAATTTTTTGTTTTTTTTTTTTTGTCATTTGTCTTATTACAGGCTTTAAGAATCCTCGAGTCCAACTAAACTTTTTATCCAAGGAATTCATTCTGAATATACTTTTATAAGACTAGTTTATGTTCACATTAGTGTTTTTTTTGTTTTGTTTTTTTGTTGGTGGAGCTCATCCTGAATCCACTTTTATGAGATTAGGTCATGTTGACGTCACGTTTGTGTTCCTCCTTAATATTACTTTGCACTTATGTAGCACGGACACGAAACACAGACAGAATACAACATGGATATGTAGACACGTCAAATTTTAAAAAAGTAGATCACGGGTATGAAGTAGACACGGCTACATATAAATATAAATTTTTATTTTATACATGTATTCAGTAATAGTATTATAAAATTTTAAATCATTTATAATTCTATATTAAGGGTTGCTCTAAAATCAATTAGAAAATGATATTATGTCATTATTGTAATGATTTTTATATCATATATACCAGTATTGCACTACCTTGTCATGATAGTATTTATATTATTTTCAAGATTAGTAGGTAGACTTGTATTAGAAATGTTCGAGAAGTGTCGGCGAAGTGTTCGAAAAGTGTCGGTGAAATGTCTGAAATAATAAAATTAATTTTTATTTATGGACACGTATATGAAGTGTCGGACAAGTATTCGAAAAATATATGGACACGGGTACGACTCCTTTGTAGAAATGGTCGTGCTTCCTAGTTTTACACAAATTGACCATTAATACTTTGCATTTTATTTGTCACAACGCATAATGGGACAGGTTTGGTAGACCACTAAATGCAGTAGGTACGAATATAGTAATAAAAATTAAAAACTCATCTCACGTTCAGGAATTAGTGTTTAACTCGCTTCACCCCAAACCCGATTATATATATATATATTACTTTTGTTTTATTTTTTTATTTTCATGTTAGAGGTCTTTATTTATTTATTGTTTCATTTTTTTTGCATCTCTCAATGAAAGTATTGATTTTTATTTTTTCACAACAAATTTCGCTTATGATTTTATTAATAAGCCACTCATCTCCATTTATTTACCATAATTTAAGTTATCGTACTAAATTAAATGGAGGAAGTAGAGTGGAGTCAATACTTGTACACACAAATTTTGTAATCTGCAAATAAGAAACAAAATTGAGAGCAAATATATTATTCTATTAATTTATAAAGATGGAGTACAATCCTTTGTAATAATATTCCAAAGAATAAGGTCCTCTGATTCGATCTCCATTTTGATTGGTTGGATCCAAGGACTGCATGAGTTTGATCTTGAATCACCGTGGAATTTGGTTGAAGAACAGTACGTCTTTGGCTGTACTTGTTGTTAATCACCGTGGAATATGATGAAGAACGGTACGATTTGATGTGCTTGATATTCTTCGTTTTTGGGTTTAGATGTTGGAGATGAAAGTTCTCTCTGGAATTCTAGATTTCGGAATTCTGAATTTCTGTTCTGAGTCTCTCAATTTCTGGACTCTCTGAATTTCTGGATTTCTGAGTTTCTGGATTTCTGGACTCTGAATTTGTGTCACTTCCTTCTTCCTCCAGGCCTCTATTTATAGGCTTCTTGGATCCATATGATGATGACATGTGTCCTTTCCTGATAAGGATAAAAATCATAATTGGGCCACGCCGGTTATATTATAATGATTATCCTTAAAAATAATTATTCCAAATATATTTTATTAGGAATAATTATTCTTTTTTATTTAACCATCTCTATTAGGCTAATTAAATAATTTAAACTAAAATTTTAATGTCTATAATACTCTGTCTATCTCACGAAGGCGTAGATGGTATGCAAATTAAAAATTAGTCTCGAAATAGGAACGAAATTAGTATGAATGATTTCCCAACAAGATGGAGTAAGATTTTGTCAACTCTGGCCCAAACCCACTTCGTTGCATTCCCATCCATGGCATTGCTCTTTTTATGTATTCTTATATATGGATCAAAATCCTCTCCAACGAGAGTGAAAGAAATCTACAAATTTTCATCACCACCCGTGATAACTCATGTTACTATAATGGCGTCAAATTCAATTAAAACCAAGTAGTACAAAGTTTAAATTTCTCCCATTTCACACGATGAGACCAACTCAATGATCTTTATTAGTACCGTGAAAGTTAAAATACCTATTAGTCCATTACAATATGTAAAGTAAAACATTCTGTTTGGCCACCCCCTTTTTCTTTTTTACTAAATTGCATAAGACTCATGATCATGATCATGTACATGTGCATGTGCATGTGCATGTGGTTTATGTGGATTCCTAATAAGGGCATGTCTGAACCACACTATACACTCTTTTGGTAGCCTCTAGCTTTTGGAGGAGACCAAATAGATTCAACCATGGCATGCGTGCTTTTATGATCATCATTCATTTTCATTTTTTGAGAGAGAGAGTGCTGTGTGTGTGTGTGTGTGTGTGTGTGTGTGTTGAAAAAGCTCTCATGAGGAGGGAGGTCAATGTGTGTCAATAATTGTAGCATAATATGATGGACTGTGGGGGTGCTTTAACTAGATGATCCATCTTCAACTTTCTTTTCTTTTTGACCTAGTCTCTCTCTCTCTCTATATATATATATCATATACTATATGTATTCATTCTTGTTATTGTTTCATTAATAAAAGCCATCTGAATTCAAAATCTTCTTCCTACCCTTTTCTTGCTTACAGCTGTAAGGCTGAAATAGAAGCAAAAAAACAGAAGGGAGGACACAAGTCTTTTTCCTTTCCACAAACATTCATTTATGCTCTAGAGTAATGAGTATACCATACTTTTGTTACTTAACTAGTACTCTTCTTCCCTTTTTTAGCCCCCAGTGATCATTTTTTCTTTTGACTTAGGTTATTATTGTCAATTTATTATTATTATTATTATTATTATTATTTGGTAGAGAGCAAATTCCTTTTAATATCCCTAACTTTGTGCATAAGTCGGGCAAATATTTTTAATTATCTACTGGCCATGGGTGCCTACATTTTTTCATCGGCAAAAAACTCAGATTTGAATCCTAACTCGTCAATTCCTTGAGAGAGAGAGGGATTGTGGTGAGTGTGGGGGTGGGGGGAAAAGGGGATTATTTACTGGGGTCAAGAATTTTTTCTTGGCCTAGTATGATAAT